CGCGTAGGCCCCGGTGTCGACCATTATTCTGTGGATTTTGATTGCCATTATCGGGGTCGTGATCACCAGGGCGTCCGAGTGAGGATGGTCGAACAGGAATGCGTCCTCATCAGTGAAGGATATTTTGTTGGGTGTTGGCTCAGTCGCCGGCCTACTCCCGGCGTGCATCACTCTCTGCCCGGCATAATAAGCCTGCCGGACATAGGCCTTTGTCTGTCTCCTCGAAAGGAGGGATTCACCCCGGCTCTTGTTCACACGCCGGGGTGAGAAATCAGCCAAGCCGGTTTCCCCCCGCGGGGATCGATCTCTTTTTCTTCCCGCCGAGGTGCCGGGCTCACCTCGGTGGACCGGATTGAACGTCAGAATCTCATTAGGCGTGCCATGTTGTAGTTTTTTCCTCCGGGGGTTCATGTCGGCCTCTTCCTCGCTGTCGAGGCCGTCCCCGAAGCGACCCCCCTTCTTTCTCTTCTCCCCAGAATGAGTGAACTTTTTGACTTGAGGGTCGTCAATCAGCTTGAGCAGCGCCGCGAGCAGGTTACGGCACTGGTCTGTGTTGTGTTCATGTGCTTGTGGTAGGCGCAATAACGGGACTTGTCTACCTTGTCCTTGTCGGTGAACATGGGTTTCGGGTCGGGCAACAAGCCCTTCGCCTTGATCTCCTTATAGACCGCGGCAGCACCAACCGAAAAGACGCCCTGGTAGCTTTCTTTGAGCTCTTCCGCTCTTTGCTTCCTCATCGCCCGCACCTTGGCGAATGACTTGCCGGGCTTCCCCGACTTATCTTTATTTTTGTCCTTGCTCGACGTGGCGTCCAACACCGGGATGGACGAAGATTCCTCGGCCATTATGTAGTTTTGGGCTTTGACGAGGAATTCCTGGTAGGTTGCGGGCTTGTTTTGGCACAAGGACCATTTAAACAGGGTTTTCGGCCTCAGCCCGGCCTGCACAGAGACAAGCAGGGTCTCGGGGTGGCACTGTTCCATATTCTGAACTCGGTCGTTAAACCGAGTGATATAATCCTTCAGGCTCTCGTCCTCGCCTTGGACAATGTTGTCGATT